GTCAGTATTAACAGTGTTTTTATTTTTTTATTTTAATAAAATGACTGAGCTCATCATTGAAAACAAAATATGTAGCAGGCGTCTGCAGTTCAAGTAGCATCTGTAGGTAAAGTAGCTAAAACATGACATTTGATTGATTCCAATCCATTTATCTTTAATTGTTAAGCTGAGATTGGATCATTGAGGCAATAGATAATAAAAAAGGTCCTGACATCCCTCTTCATAGTGACATTCTCTACCTAAGGGGTGCCCAATCCTGGCCCTTGAAGGCCACTATCCTTCATGTTTTACTTGTCTCCCTGCTCTAACACATTTGATTCAATGACTGAATTACCTAATGAAGTTTTTCACAATCTTGTTAATCACCCATTCGTTCAAATCAGGTGTGTCGGAGCAAATTCAGAAACCTCTAAAACATGCAGGATAAAGGACCTGTGCTTTAACTCACTGAGCTCTGGATTCTTCCCAGGGTCTCCCTTCTGAAGATTTGATCAAACCTTTCCAAAGGGAGGCGTCCAGAACGCTTCGCCTGAACCATCTCAGCTTATCTAAGATCACATTAAGTCAGTAATAATTTATATGTATAATCATATGTAAGTGATGAAACATAGGTGGTCCAGTAATTTGAAACTGTGCCCAAAACACCCCTGCTCTCCAGTATGGAAGTGGAAACATTATAGTTTGCGGTTGTTTTACTGCTAAGGGTATAGAACAACTTCAGCACATTAAGGTGCCTATGAACAGGGTTATGTGCTGTAAAACATAGAACAAGAAGCTTCTTTGTTCATACAGAATATTGAAGACGAGGCATGAGTGGGTCTTGGTCGAACGTATGACCGAGGCAACAAGTGAGTGGCTAAGGAAGAAGCACATCGACGTCATGGAGTGACCTCACCAAACTCCAAAGCTCAATCCTATTTTAAAGCTATGAGTGAAGTTTTGAAAGCACACACATTTACATTTATTTTAAGTTTAAAGAAAATGTAGCACACCCTTTGCTAAAAAAGTAATCTTATCCTTGACTTGTTTTACAATGTGGGTCTTTGTTAGAAGAACAGCAATATTACTATAAATACAATAAAGATACATTTAAAAAACTGATATCAGGGACAGAAAGCTTGATTGATCTTGCTAAACTTTCTGCACTTCAATATGCATTGATTTATTGCACAGTACTTTCCCTCATTGTACCTGCTCTCTTGAAATAAAATAAAATGTTCATCGTGGGGCTTTTCATTGTATTTGAGCTTCAGCGTTGTTCATCACTTCAGGGTCACTTTAAATAAACACGACGTGAGTGTGCGTAAATGTGCCTTGAATGGATCGGTGCACACGAGCAGCATAAATTGTTAAAAATTTAAAAATAAAGCAAAACTTCACACAGTGTCAACTAATACTTAGACTTGAATTAAAAAGAGGCTTATTTAGGACGACAATGGAATATTAAACAGAACTGATAGCACAACGCCTCCTCCTCCCTCTCTGCTGTGCTTCAGCTGTGTGAGCACCACTCCTTTGTGCAGACAAGCTAGTATTCATGGCAGTAACCAACGGGTACTTCTGGCTGTAGTTTGTTGTTTCATTATGTCACAGTGGACGTGTGTTTAGAAAGAAACTATGAGAAGGCATTGATCCCCAAATGCTAATGCATTACACATTGATGATTCTTGATTATGTTTTTATTAGACTAACATAATTCTGCTGGTGGAAATGACATAAACTAAGATAATCAGAACCAAACTTTGTGTGTTTGTTGTATCTGTAATAAAATGTGTCAGTGCTTAACCTCCCTCCAATGAGATCAAAACCTTTGCCTCAGGGCAGAGTACATATTAATACACAAAACATCAGAAGGTAGAGTTTGACTTTGACTCCAACTCATACTGCTCTTACATGCTGGTGAAGACATCTGTGTTTGCAAAGTATTTTCTTTGCAATTACACACGTTTACTTCATTTCTATGAAGGCGCGAGACGCTCAGAGGAATTACTGAGCGAAGTGAGACAACAGATCTTTTTTTTGTATTCAGCTCTTTAATTGCCAAGAAAAAAAATGTCCTTGACCACAAAGCAGCACAGATGAAAATACTGCAAAGAAAAAAACGCATTACTCCACAAACTGATAGCCAGACTGACTGAATACTTTGAATACACATGTTGGATTGCTTTTATCTCTACTTACCTGTGTGGGAAACCTTCTCTGACAAAAATAATTCCAATAATAGAGGTGTAATTGTACACGCATATTAGTGTTAGGTAAATACTTTGATTTTGGGGTTTGGTACAACGAGAAAACAAATGTCAGATGCTTAATTTTTTTTTTACTTTTTTAAATGGACAACAAAAAGAGAAACAATCTTTGCTACAGGGAGGCTTTGAGGGAGCAGGTTATGCAGGACAAGGTAGGATTCTCAACTTGTAATTTCACCATAAAATAAAAATATACATAACTAATAACTAATTATGTCATAACTAATTTAAACTGTAAGTACAGTCCAACATGGCAAATAAAAAATCAAAAAGTGAAATGATCTCTAATTAAAAATCAAAGTCCAAAATGTGTGTGTTTAAAAAAAAAAGGGGCCTAGATGTAATATTTAATGACATTTATCATCTAAGCACATTTCAAAATGCATAAATTATGACCCTAACAAGGTTGAGTCAGGTTCTCTGGATGGGTTCTTTGTTGAAACTTTTTGTCTTTTATCCAAAAGACTTCTTCAGTCTTTCTGGAAATAGTTCAGAAAACCCGAATCAACCTTGTTAGGTTTATCCACCTGCATTATTGAGCATGAATCAGCACATTAATTATGACCTTTTTGGCTTTCCATATATGCACCACGTGCTCTCCTCTGCTGCAGTGCACCACTGGGAACAAGCTTCCACACAGCTAATTTAAAACAAACAGCAGGTCTTCAATCACTTGTTCACATCTGTCGATATTTTTTATTTTTATTGACTTTCTTCCATAAATTTTAATGACAGTTTGAGCACCTCAATCATAACTGGAGCTCATTAAGTCCATAAATATAAAATATCGGGAGTAACTGGAGCCATAATTTAGTGAATCATTAGCCTTGACAGAATATTGCAGCTGTTTTGTCCAGAGCACATTAAACTCCAGCAGACAGTCTGATTTTCATACATTAGTGTAAAAAAACAAAAATGACATTTGAAGCTTCATGACGTCAAAAGTTCCCACAAGTTAAACTTACCTTAACCTAAACTCAACATAGCTGTAACATAAATGAATTCTTATTCCAGATGTTTATCAAAGCCCATCAATCTCAAAGAACTATGGTTAATATTGTCTGACTAAACGGTAGTACTGCATACTTCACATTATACCCCCATTGACAAACAGACAACAGCAATACAGCAATCTATAACAAAGAACAGACAAGCAAAGGCCTTATATAATGCTTGACCTTGATTTGTAACCTTGATCTTGAAGCAGGCATGATGAAAAGTGTACACAACACTCCATGTAGGGACGGTGCATATGTGTATGAAGATTCATAAAATTATCTTGAGGGTATCAGAAGTTATGGGTGGGGCAAGCAAAAACCTTGTTTTATATTTGACCTTGATGTTTGACCTTGGAGCTGGGGAGATGAAAAGTGCATGTGACACTCCATATAGTGATGATGTATGCAGTAGTCCCTTGATACTTCGGTTGATTGCACACATAGTTCTGCGGTGGCCTGGCCACTCAGTGATCGGCGAGGGCACCCCTCCTTTCTCTTTCTGAGTCTGTCAACCTCAGAAAGAGAAAGGAGGGAGCAGGGGTGAGGTCTGTCTTTCCCCATCGCTGATGTGGGAGCTTCAGTGAGGTGGATAATAGAGTGAGCGGCATGGATTATTTATTTAAAATAATCAAGCGTGACCCGAACTGAGCCATAACCCGGACTGAGCCGACACGACCCAAACCGAGCCGGTGCTCCCGATGACAAGTCCGCCCCCAGGCGTTGATTTGCAGTTAAATTATCCTGAGCAAATCAGAAGATATGGGCAGTACGAAAAAGAGTTTATTAACTTAGGTATGTACAGACAGATGGATGGAGACTATACCGTAACACGTCCCACCTTTGACGGGCATAAAATAAAAAAAAACTCTTACTAGGTCTGATTTTTTTTTGCTAAATTTCATATAAGAGTCTAGCATAAATGTGTTTGATAGAGTGGGAACCATCACATACTGTATACTAAATGTCATGCTTTTTAGATAGTAACGACGTTATGAAATCTAAACGTAGACACAAATGCACAGTCTGAGTTTGATATTTAAAGTAATTTTCTATGTCTTGTTACTGAGTAGGAGACCAATCCTGGGAATCTTTCCTGTTCCTCCAATAACCCCAGTATTATCAGAAATATTTCTACTGATTAACTTGAAGGCAGAACTCCAGGTGAAATCCAAAGCTTGAAAGAAGCTACGTGCTGAGTATCTCTGGGAAAACTGAAGTTGATTCAAAGGCAAATTGTTCCCACTACATTTGGTATTCATGACATTATTTCTGCTTGTTTACTACAGCCGTCTGCATTCTCTGCAGCTGTTTACTGTCTGCCAAATCTCCCCAAATGAAAATAGTATTTAAACATCAAAGTGTAGGTAAACAGAAATGTGCTCTTCATTTTCAAAACTGTTGAGGCTTTCTGCTGCTTTGCTTGTAAATTCTTCCTACCTGTTTTTCCACACTGCTCTGCTCAAGGGCACCTTGACTGTCATCACTAGCGTGGGTGGGGAGGGATAGTTTTATTTCTTTCACTGCCCCCTTTTGAAGCTTCTCTAACCTCTAAATAGTTATCAAATGTGCAAATTTGACCTGAGAGTTTAAGAGATTTCTCTGCAATTAAGCTCTTTGGCTTCTGATTTTGCTGATTAGTTCCTCTCAAGCTTTGATCATAATCAGTGGAACAGGATGCATCAGACTGTATAAAAGTGAGCATGTGCGTAAATGACAGCAGCTTACGCCTGATAGGCTCCTGAGTGCCACTCACCTGCACAGGGCATCGGCGCGGCAGGTGTGTCGCAGCTCCAGGCAGTTGGGTTTGTGCCTCTCCTGGTGGGAGCAGGAGGGAACGATGGTGCGGCGACGGCGTTCAGCACACGCCTGGTCCTGACAGGAGCAGAACAGCAGCGGGTAGCTGAGCTCCCATGAGACACGTTCAAAGAACTGACGAAGGGCCTGAGACACAGGAAGAAAAATACATAAATGTTTGATCAGTAGCATTAGCAGTACACTTACTTAACATCCTCTCTACAGCTGCCCCGCTCTGAGGATGCACACAGCTGTAGTTTCAGTCCTACTCTGTAATTACTTCATTATAAAACCTAATACTTATGCATATTTAAGTGAACTTTGCTAAAGTTTTATGTGCATACGTGGGTTGCACAGGGCAGGTTATCATATTAAACCTACTGAGTTACTTATATTAAGAAGAAGCCTCAGAGGCATGTAGCTAAACTTGATTAATTCAAAGATAGCTCTAAACCATTTAACAGCTGAAACGTTTGGCCTTGTAAAACACTGGTGCACTTACTGAAATCATTTTTAATGCTAAGTAAGAAAAAAGTGATGGTATCATTCCACCATGGGAACAAAAGCGTGAGACTAAAGGCCCTGCATTCAAGGAAAATGACTATCACCATATATCACCATTCATGTTGTAGACCAACATCAGCTTACATTAAAAAATGATGGAGTTGTAGCCATTTTGTTCAAACCTTGAAAGGATATGCGTAATCTCATGAAATATTAAGAAATGTTACATTGAGAGTATATAATGTGAGTGACGATTTAATTGTAGCTGACTATTTGTAATACTGACAGGTTTATAATCAAATTTACGTTGGTGAATGTAGATTAGCTGTGCAATCCATCTCGAGTTGAACTGACTTCAAAAGTTATTGAATTGTAGATGTTACTCCAATGGTTACTTCTGAAAGTTTCACAAATTTAGTTCTTGTATTTCATATCTGACTAAAAGACAAACTGGGTTGACTCTAACAGTTAATGCAACTATCTTGTGACATCAGTAGCAAATGGAGTGTGCATTGTAATGGGCTGTCAGAGATGACTAAAGCAAATTTTAGCAAAAATTGACTTATAGTAATTATTTTGTTTTTGATTTGACTGTTCTAGAGTGGGCAATCATCATGAACCTGAATGCTATGAGAGTCTGAATGACCCCATCACAAAGTGAAGAGGGGGAATTGGAAATACGCTTCGGCCATCTATGAATGTTGTAAACATGATAACTCGAAAAATAAGTGAGGTACTGACTTCCATTTTGGTGTGTGACTTCATCTAGGTATAAAAAGGACCCTATCAACATTTGAATTGGCACATTAAATCAAGGATGACCACTGCCATATATGCCCGGTCGTCTTGTGATCTGGATAACTTGAAAATTAAGCAACGGGCCGACTTCCATTTTGGTGTGATACTGCATCTAGGTGTAAGACAGGTCCATGCATCAATACATTATCCATCCATCCATTATCTTTCACCCATTTCTTCCTTTTTGGGTCATGGGTGTCACTGGTGCCCATATCCAGCAGTCACTGTGTGAGAGGTGGGGACACCCTGGACAGGACACAAGTCCATCACAGGGACACATAGAGACAAATGAGACAAACAACCATTCACTCTCTCACTCACACCTAGGGACAATTTAG